GGGTCTGTGGTCCAGCAGGCCAGCATCGTGGATTAAGATCACCATGACACTAGGGGTGTGTAGGTGCCGCTGGTGATGCTAAGCCTGCTGTGCAGTGCATCCAAACGGGCAGTCTGTTGCGGGCTACTTCTTCCTCCTCCCATTTTTAAGTATAGGCGCAAAAAAAAACGAAGCCCACAACAGCCTGCCCTTTTGGATGCACTGCTGCTGTGCCTCCCGATACATCCCAATACTCACTGCTAACCCCTATTCTTACACTATTTGAGAGAGAGAGAGATGCCAACTTACCTTGTGTTGTTCAACTGGTACCAATGGATGGTGACCTCGTCCAATAAATCTCACGCACAGATTGGTGTAGTCCATATAGTACTTGACTAATACATGGTAGTTTGTCCTAGAATCAAAAACTGCCATTAGATGAAATAATAACTTTTAAATTCAACAATTCAACATAATAACAAAAGCAGTTGTAAAAATACAAATATGACATGTATCAGGAGTGAAATGGAAAAATTAAAACATTGAACCATTGAACAGAGAAGTTGATAACTAGGCTTGAGGGGAGGCTGCAGTGACAAATTGTTCATTTTGGATAATAATGACCCTTAAGTCATTTAATACAGTAACTGACTCATACTTGCCACAAACATTTCTTGGTCAGAGAAACAACAACTGGTACCTGGCTCGTACGTCCGCCATCCTGGCTGGATTCGTGCTTGCCGGAGGTCATCCTTCGGGCCCCATAGAGAAACCTCTGCCCAAATTTTCATTTTTTTAGCGTTTTGGACTCTTTTTGACTTTTTTGGTACCTGGCTTGCACGGAAATGTGCAAGCTGGAGGTCATCCTTCGGGCCCCATAGGGGAACCTCTGCCCGATTTTTCAAAAAATTAACATTTTGGACTTCTTTTTGTGCCCCCTCCCTCAACCACACCATTTTCACAGTAGCCTCCTTAATCATGAACACAGAGAAATGAAAATCTAACCTTTGTGTTGGACGCAGCAATTCCTCTTCTCCTGATTCTGTAGTACAGAAGTAAAATGTAACATCAAAACTTCAATACTTGCTGCTGCTGACTGCTGGATGTATGCTCATTTTTAACCATGTTTCCTCATACACGTACAATGAATTCTGAATAATGTAGACAAGAAAGGTTTTGTCCTGTAAAGAATTAACAATTTGATTAGTTGAAATAATAAAATGATAAAGCGGCAATGAATGTTCAATGATTCAATATAAGAAAGTGTGTGGAATTGTAAATGACAACTTAATAAAAGTAAAATATGTTACAGAAAAAATGTAAGGAACTATTTGCCATGTGCACTAAACCAAGGAATCAATAAGTCTGTGATATTGCAATACAAGTATATCATTAGACAAGGAAAATGTCCCTCCCATGAAAAATATTCAGCCCCAGTACTGACAAGGCACATAAAAGGACAAATTAATGAATCAGAATAAACTTACCACATTCATCTGCAGTATGATTAGGATGTTTAAAATCAGACAGATATCAAGCTTTCAACTCCACCTCGCAAGCAAAAAAAAAAAAAAAACAACAAAAAAACACAGCTTTAGGACTACACAGATGTATGAGAGATGGGAATGTGAAAAACACACTGTTCTCCGAAACTGTTTTTCATAATGCTGTAGAAGTGTGTTCTAAAATTAATAAAAAGGTTTGGCTAAAATATTTTCTACACAAACTTAGAAGAGCACTCACAAAAGGAAATTGATGTTACACTTCACAACACTTCTTATGAAAAAACAATATAATCTTGCACAAATTTTACTTAAGCTTGTACAGCTTCACATCAAGAAAATACACATACTGTGCAATGGTAAATGCATGCAGTTCAATACATACAAGAAACATTTGATAAGAATAATCTTGATGCTGGACTACTTTCTGATTTGAGAAAAGCATTTGGTAAACATGGAACCTACCCAGTATATATTTATATATTTGCTTTACCATGTCACTATACCTATTCAAAACTGTAAACTTGCCCCTTACAAAGAGCTATGAAACTCAGCAACAGTAAAGATCGATAAAATAAATTAAAATTGAGCCAAGAATTTAGCAAATGTCCAGTAACACACATAAAAAGCTCAGTTCCCAAATGGTGAATTTTGTAAGCAGCTGAATAACAGGCATGGGTGTGGCACAACATGCAACGTTACACACTCATCTCCACTATAGTGCTACCAGGTTTCGTCTCAATTTAGCCTTCAGAAGAAAACAAAGGGCTAATTTGTCACATATTAAAAACAGGAGACTTGACACCATACAGGAAAAGATTTCAACAAAAACTTAACCTTAACAAATTAAATACACATTACCTCAAGAAGTATTGTAGTTTACATTCAATGGAACACAATCAATTGTAATGTCTGCAATGCCACAAAACTCGGAAACTATTGATGAGTGGGCAGGAAGAGTATATTGCCTGGAAGAAAATGAGAACATAAACAATTAGTATTATGGCCAGTTACAGCAACTATTGACTTATCCAGAGCAGTCAGTTACCCCAATTTGATTGTAACATGAGGTAAACACAAACATTAACCTGATGCAGTGCACATGTTAGAATGCAAATCCATTATCACAAAAATACAAGAGGACTGTTATAGAGAATCATTAACTGAAGCAAATATACAAATAAACCAAACTCTGAAAGTATTCCCGATAGATTTCTACCCCCATTTCAATTTTAAAATTAACACGACAAGTAACAAAAATTGGAGGGAAATAGGGGACTGTAGGGGAGGGTGAGGAGAGGAGTAGATGGTTGGAGGGGAAGGGGTGAACAGAGGTGAGGAGGGAGGGAGAGACCCACCTTTCTGGTCAGTTGGACAGTTGCCCTTCCAGCAGGGTGTAGGTGTAGGTGTGAGTATGTACCGAATCCCTCCGGACGCACGTGGTCGATATGGCGGCCGAAATATCTCCATACCATCTGTCCCGTGTGACGGAGCATCCTATAGAGGCCAGAGAAAAGATAGTAGAGTATATAGAATGGGGGAATATACATTTTACTGTGACAAAAAGAACCATGAAAAGGGTGTGTGGTATTTTCGGTGTAGCGAATCTAGGAAAGATCCCCCATGCCATACCACAGCCAAATCATATGTGCCAAATGTCGATGAGCTGCAGCCCAACAATAACAGGCGGCACTCTCACCAGCCAGCATATCCATTACGAGAAGCTTATCTGAGGCACCGAGAAGATTTAATCAATTTGTGCCTCCGACAAAAGTCATGTTCCCTCAAGAAGATAATAGATAGCTATGTGAATAAGTGAGTAGATTTTTAAGTTCAAAGGTGTGGTTGAGTGCTTAGCTGCACCTTGCTTTCACCTTGCTCGTGGGCACTTTACCCAAAATACTTACACAATGCAATAAATTTAGATTAATGTTGTTATTTGCCTCTTTTCCAGTCTTGAGGATCAGCGCCTTGTTGATAGTTTCACTATTGAATCTATCAAGAAGGCGGTCAACAGGCTACGGAATATGAACTTACCACCTGTTCCCCACACCTTACGCCAGGCTTCTGAAAGCCTTGAAATGCTGGAGTTTTCGTATCTTGGTAAGTGAACTGTTTAAATGATACTTCTTCAGTTTGCCTGTAAAATAAAATTAACATTGCTTTCATTGTTTAACAGGAAGGAACAGAGACGATACTCAAGACTTTTACCAGGGACTTGTTGGTGAGCGAGGGCAGGAGAGTCTTCTCTTTGTAAACTTGGAATTGATGCATTTAGTAGGCATTAAGAGTGTGTTGGCCTCTGACGCCACGTTCTATTGCTGCCCTCGCTTGCTGGGGGCAAAGCAGGTTTTAATTTTTGCCTTCCATGCATATGGACAAGTAAGTGCATGTTAAATACCTCGTTCTTTTTTTTCTTCTTCATACTAAGTGACTCCCTCATTGTTCCAGGTCTTTCCCTTTGCGTATGCTGTCATGACCAGCAAGACCACGGCCAGTTATGCACACATCATCCAGAGGCTTAAAGATCTAGGACTTCGTGCCAAACTGGTTACCACTGATTGGGAGACTGCTGAACAGAAAGCATGGAAGCAGGTTTACAAGAATATCGAACTCTGGGGTTGCCTGTTCCATTACCAGAGAGTAAGTATTCCTCAAATATAGTTTAACATGGATTCAGGAACACTTTATGTTCTGTAGTCTTTATAATCTATCAGTCGTGAGATTACATTAGTTTTTCAACTTTACAGGCTGTATATAGACAGGCCAAAAAGAAGAAGTTGACGAGGCACCTCAAAAAAGGAGGGAGCAACAAGGATGTTGCCCGAATCCTAAAGCTTCTGTCAGTTCTCCCCCGCCTGCCAGCAAATGAGATCAAGAAGGGATTCAAGGTCATCAAACAAGAAGCAGAAAAGACATTAGACGGTAGGCTAAAGAAGAAAATGGACAAGTTATTTCAGTACTTCAACAACCAGTGGCTGATAAAAACATCAGCCGAAGAGCTCTCTGTCCATGGAAAAAATGTCAGAGTGACAAGTGGGCTTGAAAGTATAAACGCCAGAATCAATGATCTCATGCCCATGAAACACCCACACTTCTGGATATGGCTTGGTAAGGTACATCATCTTGTATTCATAGAAAGTCATCCTTTGCACATTGCACTGATATTTTTTATGTTTTACAGACTTGCTCAAGGACTTTGATAAAGAGATTACAAAAAAATACGATGACATCAGGATTGGAAAAGGACAATCAGGCAGCAGCAAGTATTACAAAAAGGACACTGACAGACTGACGGACCATGACATTAGACGAGCATTACTAACTTTTGAGGGGCATAAGAATCACCTCGAATTTCTAATTGCCATTCAACCTACATACAACAATGTGCTTGCTGTCCTGCACATAACAGATGAAGATACACCAGACAACATGTGAGTTGCTAGAACTGATGGTCACATTCCACTGTCCTCCAGTTTCGCATCATAGTTTTCTTGTTGCAGTCCAACAGATGAGGAAGTTTTGGCTCAGGACACGGCACAAATCCTACAGGCGCCAACTAGGAGGAGTGCAAGGCTGATGATCAACAGTGAGAGTGAACATTCAGAGATTGATGAGTATGTATTGACAAGAATTTCAATAAGCACCTGCAACTAAAACCAATATATTAATTTAAAAAATTCTTAAAATTCCAGACCATCATTAAATCATGACCTCACCTCTGGCCTGAGTCCTGCTGCATCAGAATCTGGGTTGGCAAACTCTCCACGTCCACGTCCACGTCCACCTGGTGATGACTTTGTTGGCATCGTCCTCACATCTCCAACTGGGCCATCATTCACACCTAACAGAGGTTTGTTTTACTACTTTGAAACATATCATCCAAATTTTCTAATTACACTATTTCAATACAAAATGTTTCCTCCAGACACTCTGCTTGACAAATCCACCACTCCAAAGTCCACGGAGTCGTGGCACCAGGCGGTGACATTGGAATCGAACTCTGTTGACAATGGTAAGTTCAAGGGTTATGTCTGAATAGGTTAGAATACAAGGATAACTCAATAACTTTCAAGATTCCAATCCTTACCACAAAATTTTATGTTTCTGCCACCACAGGAATCGGACCACTGGAGCCTATGGATACAAGTAAGTCGGTATTATATGGTAGAATAATGAATTAATTTAACATCCTAACCTCACACTCTGCATGCCGTAATAAATGTGAACTGTCACCC